AGACTTCTATGTATGTTATGGCAAAAAATTACGCTAACATTAACGGATTGGAAGATATGTTTCGTCTATCTTCTCCGATAGCTATTCAACTCAAACCTCTGTGAGGATTATGGGAGCGTTTTTGTTTGAGTGTGTACACTTCATGAAAGCTTTTGTTCTTGAAAATATTTTGTTTTTATTTCTCTTGATATCGTTTAGTTCCTGGTGATTTTGTGGAAGACAGATCGATAAAACAGCTTCTTTGTTGTTTATTTGTTCCCAGGTCTGGAAAGTATCCTTTATTCCATTTTTCTGCCAGCTGCTGCATTTCGCTTAACATTTTACAGATTCGTGGTCATAGATAATTACAAAAGATCACTGTCAGTCCTTTTTGAGAATGCTGCTTTAAATCTCTTTGCTAAAGTTCTCACTTGCATTTGAACTTTTTCCAGCTCAAAACACTATTCATTGCATTGATGGTTTTAATGTGCTGTTCTTTCATAGCAGATGGACTTGAAACTTTTTAATTTACCTCTAATTGTAGGACTATTTTGGATTACGTCAGTTATTCTTTAAACGTAACTTACTTGAATGCTGCAGAAATAAAACTCTTATAATTGTGGCGTAGAATTTGGTCGTTTAGAGAGCGATTTAATTTAGAGATAACTATAACTGTAACATTTGGTTCAGAATGGCATTAAAAAATTTTTTTGGAACTGAATCTTTCAGCAAAAGCTGACGGAAAAATGCTTTAGTCATTATGAATTTAAGCAGAATTATTTGATTTTCTTATGTGACGAGTCAAAACCCTTAAAGTTGGATCTCATGCTGAATTTAGTTGCTAGGTATAACTAGTAACTACCAGCAACTGATGCAAAGATTTATTGTATCTACTTCTGGTAAGGAGGGCTGAGAAAATTGTTGCTAGGAAATCAGCAATTTCAACTTTTTATGGTGAAGTGGGGACGGGAGTGAATATCAGGAGACGAGAGTGGAGTCTTAAGGTTCATGATAATAGATAAATTATAAGCTAGTTCATAGTCGTTGTGTTTATCGGGAGAACGGTGGAAAGAAATCGAATTTTTCAGTGCTTCTTTTATTTCTTGGAAAAGCAGTTCTGTAGGAAAACGTACATTACAGGCCATTGATCAACTAATTTCAAATTGGAAAAGAAATCTTAATTTTTCATTTAATTAGCACTTCCTATATTGGTGGCGTTTTTGATAGGTTGACTCGCTGTACTTCTATTCCTTTTGTTGCTCCATCGCTATTTTCTTTTTCTACTCCTCATTTAAGTAAGAAGGAGTAATCGTAAGCAAATTTGGGAACATGTTATTCATCTGATTTAATTTTTTTTTTTTAGCAAGAAGAAAGTTTATTTGCAACAGGTATTCTTTTTAAATTTGTATGAATGGGAAAGAATAAGTATGTTTCTGTCCAAAATGTAGGAGGATTTAACTTAGAGCAGGGTAAATGCTGCTGATATGCCACTAAAAAACTTTGCCCAAAGGAGAAAGCAAATGTTGAGTATTGAAAGTGATAGTTTGCAAATAGAATCTTTGGATTGGGGTAAGAAAAATTAGTAGAATGAATACTAGTGGAGCTTATTTTTGTTTTTATAAGTATTATCACCGTTATCAGCGTAATATTTCACAATACAGTCATTAGTGACTTCATTGTCTTGCGTTCTGTAAAGCGACCTATACTGCACCACAAAGTCAATTGTTTTGGTGTGATTCAAATTTCTGCAACGCGTCGCCACATTTTAATCAGAACTAGTTGACTGTTTATCAAATTTTAAATTTTCTTCAAAATTTAATTCTGATTTTCATTGCCACCTTGCTAGAATCATGTAAACGTAACACATCTAATAAAAGTGATAATAATAAAGTGGCTCAGCAAGATAGCAGTTGTCAAGAAAAAAAAGAGCAAGAATATCAGTACGTTTTAGTGATTACTGCAGGTACTGACACTCATTCATATCAGAGCTTTTCAAGGTTTCTTTCTGCTGTATATTTTAACAATTTTCAATTGCGAGCCTGCTGTCTGTTTTCTCAACCCCCAACAATACACTTGTTTTGCATTGGTTTGAAGCCATTAATTGTCAAGTCCTGAAGAATAATGCATGAGAAATATCTACCGATAGCCGCTAAAACTTTTGAGACAGTGTATTTGGTAGCAATTCAAATATTTTAGATGTGCGATGAAACTGAGAAACGATTGAAAGTTTATTGCGGATTATTGGCAGTTTTCTTGATCAATCGGTGAAAAAGCATTTTTATTTTTCACTTTCCGTTACGCGAAGGAAGTGATTAAAAGATTTCTGAAATTTCCGCAATATTTCTAAAATCGTTTTTTGTCAGCAGATATCACTGTTTAAAATCTGACAGCGGAAGCACTGCCAGCGGCACCCAGCTTCCCTCGTCAATCAGGTGGTCACAGGCAGAGCCTTGCGTAATGAGCTTCCGACGTTTCCTTTTCTAAAGAAATCTTTTATTTCACTTGAATATATTCCATTTGAAAGATAATATATCAGGTTTTTCTGATGCTAGGAAAGAAGCAGTGCGGACGCTACTGACACTAAACGGTCGTACGGCAATTGAGAAATTCTTTCAGTTGCTGACACCGAGTTTTATAAGTTTAAAAAATGTTTCCATAAAAAGTCATATCAAGGAAATAGTTTTACTATGTGTTTAATAAAACAAAAAGCCAGTGGGCACCAATTCAGGACGACAGCCGCACAACCCAGGGCCTCATACAGTGAGGAAATTTGAATTTCCAAATGTCGGGTTAATCACGCCGACTAAACATGAACGATGGGTCTCAAAAAAGAAATCAAGTTCCTTCGAAAATTAGAGTAATTCTCAGACTTTTCTCTTCATTACTGCACGAAGCACACTATGAAATTCCTAAAAAGTGCTGGACAGCTCTAATTTGTACACCACACAACCTTCTGTGGAGGGAGGAAGAGCTAATCCAACCAGTGCCAAAGCTACTGGAAATTCAACTGGCGTCACGCCAGAGGCAATTTTTTCGTTATGGGAACCTAAGGAAAGATTAAAATTGAGACCGAGTGATTTATACGTTGTAAGTTTGTGTATACAACAGTTTTTTGGATTTTGTAGCTGCTGGGTGAACGTGGTACTTTTCTCGATAATTCGTTGAATCTTTTCCTTTCCCACCACTTTTCTTCTGTTCTCAGAAAATGGACTTTTTTTCGGAAAGTGACAGGAATGTCTTTAAAGTTTTACTGAGAATACGTTATGTGCTGTTGAGTTCGCCAACTGTAAAAATTTCGGTCTTATAATTCCTAATTGTTTCTTCTTTAGTTTGCTTTGTTCAGTTTTTCAGGATGGCTGAGAGCGAGAAAGGAGAGGAGATTAAGTCGAAAGATGTGTTCAGAATGGGTACAAATGTAAAAGACAACGGTGACATTAAGGGAAGTTTGGCGGTACGAAGTAAGGTGGAGCAAAATGCTGTTGAAACAAACGAGGTATCATCATCGTTTGGTTTAGGTTTGTTTAGAACCTAGTTAGTTAGCTGAGAGCACTTTCTGCTGTATTCTTCTCCTTGTACATCGATTTCAAAAATCTTTTTTCCTGTATGAATCTTTTTTATTTATGTAGTGAGGCCTTTGGGACTTCCTTTTTTTAAATTCCTTGTTTCCGGATAAGTTAACAGATCTATTTTGTGGTTCTTGAGGGCCCTTCCTCAATAACGCCATTTAAGTACTAGTTTTCTGACAATTTGCGAGTATGCTATCTCTTTAATGCTGCGGCTTATGGGGTAAAATTATCTCGCTTTTTCTATTAGAATACCACTTTTTTATATCTAGATTAAGTTATTGGAAGGAGGGGTCAGGAGGAACAAGTCCTACAACGTGTCCTTTATTATTCTTCACAACGTCAAATCGTGTCATGAGTTATAGGCAGAAAAGACGTTTCTCCAACACTTATGCTTCTTTTTGAAGAAAGGTTTTTTGAAAAATGCAGCGTTTCATTATAGTTCTGAGCAAAGCTGAGGCCTCAGGGGTAGCTCGAATCCACGTTGTGGAGGATTCCGAGGTAGCGCTCTTCCAACTGAGCTACTAGAGGGCTATGCTTTAGCTGTATTTTAACTCAAAAAATTTTGCCGACATGCTCTCGTCTTCTGCGGCTTGGAGGTGTTCTTTGACTTTTACATTTACTTTATAGTAGTAAATAAGTATACCGAAAGAACATAGTGGCTAAAGTGCTACAAAATGAGTACCGGCATAAGAGATGAATTGGTTTGGAAGAAGGAGAAGCCATTTAATAGCACGGGCTTGAAATTCTCAGCTATCTGATAACGCAGTTCTAAAATAGTGACAAGTCTGCTGCAACAAAGCACTACGGGGAAGGTGTTGCGCAGAACCGTTTACGTGAGGAAGCGTAACACGAGGAAAAGAAAACAAAAATTAGAATGGAAAGTTAGACTTCTGCAAATCTACTACAGGGGAAAAAAACACATGCAAAGATAAAAA